TGAATTTCCTTTTTTTTTTTTAATTTGCGCTCACATTATTTATTTATTTAACGTGCAATGAAATATTGTTCATGAGCCGTCTTGTCTCGTTCTAGCAATAATTAATAACACCGATTTTTTTTTAAAGTATTATAGTTTCATAGTTTTATCATAATAAAATATAATATATTATGCAAAAACGGCTGTAGCGCCTGTAGGTAATACTTAAATTCTTACAAATTAATAGCTTAGCCTTTTTTTTCTTTAGCCGATGTTGTTAGATCAATAAAAAAAACTTTAACGTTTAAATATATAATTTGTGTTTTTTTTTTTTTGCTTTAACATCGTTTTATTACTCGCAAAGTAATTTATTAAATTCTAAACGTTAACGGTTTTTTTATAAATCCTGTAAAAGTCTTGTTTTTTTTCTATTATTATTATATTATTATTATTTAAAGTTCAACGTGCGTGTAATACTGTAGCTAACCCCAAGCCAAGTAAACTAGTTACTAAATGGGGTACACTTTACCTTGTTAACATATTACAATTTAATCACAACCCTTCGGCTAAATCTCCACGCTTAAAAGTCCTTAAATAATGAACGTTTCTCGTTCGCCGTCGTCACAATATGTACCTATGTACATCAGCTACTTTGATGTACACACACACACACACACACAAAATACTTTTAAACTTGCAAAGTAAGTATACTTAAAACAAGTAAAATTACGTGACCGAGGTAAGTCCAAAATTAATACATCTTGAGTACACTTTTCAAAGCCACTGCGTTGAATGTTTGCAAGAAATTACGATTTATAACATAATAATAACCTTTCGGGAAGAGTATGGAAATGTTTTAAAATTCCACGAAACAACCATCTCGACCATAAAGTGAAAAGTTATCAATATAAAAGTTTTAAGAAGATTCCGTCTATTGTTTATGACAGCTCGTGAATAAGTTATATATTTCATACTAACGACTGTAGCGAGTGATGGTTTTTTTCTTTTAATTTTAGAAAAGTTTACCCGTCTAGTATTAATTATATATTTTTATACAATTCAATTTGGAGATTAAATTAGAATTTTTATTTTGTTAAAGAAAACCGATTAAATACTAGCAATCGCTGCATCGTACCAACTCGGTACAACAACAATGATGGAATAATGTATAATATATATACAAACAATAAGTTTATTTTTGCTATTCAAAGACGGTTTATAGTGAATAGAGTTTATATCCGACGAACAATGAGCAGCATTGTGTGTTTTACTATAGTGCCTGTCTAGTGATGATAATTAATTTGTAATTATTTCTCGGTAGTGCAAAAAAAAGTTTTAATAATAAAAGAAAAAAAATTGAGAATTCATAAAAAAATAATCATTTACTACATTGGCCGGTACTGGTATTCGCGAAAGACAATATTAATATATTTTATTAAAATCAAACCGCATTACTGATTTTTATTATTTCAGAAAAGATAATAAAGGAATAATCTTGTACTTAAATATTGCGTGGGGCTTTACTCCTCTCCAAAAAGTATTAAAAAAAAAAAAGAAAAAAAACCGGAACAATAAACATCTTAAACCAGTAATTAAACGTCAGAAGATTTGGTTTCTTTATCACTGCTTTTTATTAGGTGCAGTTTTAGTGGTTAGTGTCTGAAAATTAGACCAAAGGTCTAATTAGATCCAAAGATCTAGAGTGGGGCTGTAACATGTACGGTTTCATTCAAAATCTGAGTTTAACCTTTTTTTATTAAGGAACTCTCCCCCGCCCTTCAAAAAATAAAATAGTGGAAAACTACACTTGCCACGTGAAAGTGAATAATCAACAGTCACCGGAGGTCTGAAAAAAATTGTCATTATACTTTTTCAATACACTGTAGATGGTTTATCAACCCTAATACCAAAAATAAAATTGAATTGCATTTTTATAAAAAAAAATGTTAATTGTACAGGGGAGCTTTTTTAGTTGTATTTTTTGCTCCATAAACCGATAAAGGACACGAGGCTGTTAAATCACATATAGTCAACCGGGGTATGTTTGAGAAGTAACTGTTCCAATCCAGCTGGTCTGAAAAAACGTCGTTCGAAAGTCACATAGAACGTTGCTACATCACCATTTCCCTTAGATTTTAAGCTCATATCGTTTGTGTTTTTCTAAACGAATATTTTAGCCCTTAAAATCAATCAAACGGTCCGCCGATTGTCAGCTCAATTCGCGCACAAGGCCGACGCAATTGACGAATAGTCGTGGGGCTTAGCTTTAACAACTTGCTAAATAATAATAAAAAAAACTACTATCAAACGAGTTGTTGCGGTCAATGGTTGGACCAAGGGAAAGCCCCGGAAATAACACAACAGAAGAAATAAAAACCGTTGGGAAAATAATTCATACATATTGTGTGTATGTACCTATTAACCGACGACAACGGAAATAAAATATAAATCCGGAATGTGCCCCTCCCCCTCTCCCCCCGAGGGAAGGAGAGAGGGGAAGGGATCGGCCAGAGGGGCATTTCCCGTTGAAATTAAGTGGATGTTTTCAGTCTGGCGGCAATAAACGGCGTCGGCGACTTCACGACTTACACACATATATATGTATATACTATATATACTTACACTGGCAGTCATCAGGCGCAAAAGTTTTTAGGGGTGGGGGGTTTGGGCCAAAAGCGGTGGAGGAGAGGTTTATCCACCACCACCACCGATATTAACTGGGTTCCTACCCTTAATGTGCATGTGAGACGAGGGAAAGAAAGAGACAGAGCCGGTGTGATGGGCAGGGAGGCAAGTCGAAACGAGAACCCTATTAAAAGTTGGTAATAATACCACCCTTGGCCACCCGACAAACAACAAAGCCGTACCGTGTATTCAGTCGGGTAATACGTGTGTTTCTCGCACCTCTTATTATATGATGATAATAAATTTAAAAAAATGCCAATTTTTTTGTTTTATAACACAATGTTTATTACTAGAGCTGGGATGACCATAAATGTATTGAAATATGTATTTAAAAGTTATTAAATTGTACAATTATACGCCTTTATTGAAAACGACTAAAAAAACTTTACCCCAGTTTTTAAATAGCCTACTTGACTTAATATAACCAACATTTTACACGGGTTAATTATTTAAAAAGGTATTATCAGGATAACGTTGAATTACAATTTATTATTTTGGTGATGTTTTCAAATTTAAAAGAACAATGGCGGTTTTCTTAGACATTTTGGACATTATTTTATAACCAGAAAAGTGTAAAATACTTTTCCCACGTTGTGTATAATTTTCTTTAGCTCATACTCTCATAATCACTATCAAAGATAATAATAAAATGAAACATTTTTAATAATAATTATACTTACAAATATGCTACTTAATCTAGAAATAATCATTATAGGCAAATATATGCTCAAAAGTATCAAAATATATACAAATATATGCAATATAAGTTTGCTTATTTGAAATCTAGTCATTATGAATTGTATTTGGGTACAACAGAAATTGCATTTACATTATCCACTATAAATCTAATATGACATTTGTTTTATTGTAACAAGACTAGCGCCAATACAAATAACGACTAGTCGATGAACTAGTAGCATTGAACTTCAAATGTTAATAACTCAATAAATATTTATTTACTACTGAAATTCTGAACAACCTGTAATTTTATATGTTACAGTGATTTTTTCAACGAAATAATAATGTAAGCTAAAACAATGTCTAATCAATTCGTATTATATTTAAAATTTAGTAAATAAATATTATCCCAAAGGGTTGTTTTTAAGGGTTCTTGTTAAAAGTGTATTGCACTGAGACGTGGATAATTAGTGGCCAGGAGTAAAATCCTTCTCTATTCGTGCTTATGGATCACTACAGAGAGAAACAATTTTATTTTTGTTTTTATTATGAAATAAAATTAAGTCGAGGCCGCATATTGTGGTCTGTAAGAAATATAGTCGACAATAAACACGATAAATTAATGTGAATTAATTGCTTGTAATTTGAAGGGATCGCCGTGGTACATTATGTCTGTAAAAATAAAGCACCATTTAATTTTGGACAATACGTTCCACTCATTTCGCTGAACGAATAATCTCTTTTGTTTTGTATATTACAAACGACTAAATCCAAGACTCTTTCTGATGAACTCTTCCTGCTGAATTTCTTCTCTTATTTATCACTATTTACTGTGTCTATCTTTTCTTTCTCCAAGGTTCTTTTTGGTCCGACCATTGTTTTTCCTCTATTTTAACCGGTACACGTCTCTTGAGTTTAGCTTAACCCTTTGAGTCATAGTGGTATTGGACAATTTTGGGGTTTGCATATTTTATCAAAGCCTCTTTTTTTGGGTGGGCTAATAACATTTGAATTACTACTTATAACGTTGATTAGGGTAGTAGGGTTTACCTTTCAGCAGAACCGGCATGAAAATCGTCGGTCTCTAAACATTTTTATATATTTTATGGTCGTTGAAATTTCTAGGATATTGAATTCTGTCGACTGAACAATATTTGTCTCAATATATATTTCATACTGAAACGCACACGATTCATATCGAATTGGGGCGACTATACGGGATGTGACGGTAACATACCCATAAATCATAAGAAAAACAGTACATTTATATTATCCAATACTATTGTACTGTATCGGGCCAAAAGGATATAGCTAACAAATTGCTTTCCTAGTTGTTTTATTCGTTTGGACTCGGTATTTGGAATAATAATTTAGAAGTAAGCTGTCGCCCTCGTCACAGAGAATGGGATATTCCCAATCTGGGAAATCTCGTTTAATTTCGCACTATTATTATGACGTGTCGACTGCTGCGCAAATGCTCCCCTTTCTTCAACCCCCAACGCCATGTTTACCGCTTAAAATGCACCCTCGCCGACCGCCGCCAGAGTATACAGTATATTATTATTATTATTATGTGGACACATGATGAATAATTGTAACGAGATTTATTTTTTGTTGTATATTTATCCTTTATTATTTTTTCTTTCTTTCTTCTGTAGAATGGCGAACGTGGTTACTTGGAAGGTCTGGCGTCCCGGTACGCCGACTTGTACAGCACCCATTACCGGGATATCCTGGAATACCTGGACGAGCTGCGGGCCGCCGAATGGGCCGAGTTGTCGCCCAGGATCACGTTGCTGGCACCCTCGTCGCCATCGCGATCACCATGCAATTTGACCGGCGGCAACAATTCGTATTCCCATCATCTGTACGCACCAGGAAAATATTCGGTAAGCACCGGCAACGAGCCTGTACAATAAAAGATAGATGCAGCACTTGCTTGGGATTGGAACCAGAAATAACCTCCCATTATGGGGATTACGTTTTAAGTTTGTCCCCACGTTAATTCTTTGAGAATAATTTTTTTTAAGGAGTTGGCAACCTTGTTACGTTCCCTCGTACCTTCAAAAGGTCGTATCTTCTCTTTCAATAAATCCTACCTTATCAGCTGATCTTCTCTTCCTTTCTTTTTAATTAGTTAATTTCCCGACACCAATGAATCATATTTCATCAAATAATATCATTTTTTTCATTCAGGCCATTCAGGTATTTCGCTGCAACCACTGTTCCTTCCATCTACCTTTATTAGTTGCCATTTCTTCGCCATTATTTATTCCCTCAGCATGTTTATCCATCTAACTCAGTCTTGGGCGTCCTAGTGGTCTCCTACCACTACAATCTGTTCTCCTAGTATATTGCTTCTTAGATCTTGTTTTGTTCTTCTTTTATAAGTTTTAGTATTCTAGTCTCTCTCTGGCACATAGATTTGACGTAGGTCTTTCCTTTCAAATATTGCAAGATTTTGTTAATTATTTTTAGCTTTTTTTTTTTGTTATACGGTATTTGATTTAAATGCTGTTCCAACTCCTTTAAAAACTATTTCTCCAACCATCCCTACCCTAGCGGCCAATTTAAAACTTGTCAGGGAATTAATGTACACATCTCATGTAATTCCCATAGTTTACTATTGATTGATGGGCATTTCTCCGAAAATCATCTTTAGTAGACAATGCTGCCATACTATTCCAATGTCGGTTTTTTCATAACGACCTATCACACTGTCAGGAGCGGTCTTGAAAAGTTAATTTTGGGACAAATTGGGGATGTGTGGAAATTGATCTACATTTATATTTTTACTTTTGTTTTTGGAGCTTATTAATTGATTCTGATTGAGACGTTTTGTATAAATGGACATATTTTTTAGAAAATGTACCATTTTCGGTAAAATTTGGTATTAAATGCCGTACCATTTCATAACGTAAGTTGCCTTTTCAACCGACTTCAAAAAAAGGACGAGGTTATATTCTTTATTTGCAGCAAGTCAAAAGCGAGTTAACGCAATTATTTTTCCTTAGACAGCTGATATTATAGCTATTCGTCTCGGAGCCGTTTTCTTTGTCCTTCGAGATACGTTTCACAAATTCCAATAAATCCGGTAGTGGAGTTATTAAATTCGTATCTGTTCAACGTTAACGCTCTAGAACGTTTTGTACTTATATATATATATATAGTGAGTGTGTATATATATATATATTGTATATGAAAGCTCTTTTCCGAACCGTCTCACGACAAGTACAAAGGAAACAATTTATGGTTGTTAGTCTATTTGTGTAAGCATATAGGACGTGTCGCCGATCAGTACACATACTTGTTTTATTTTATTCGCCTTTTTTCCCCCAAAGGGCCAGTATAGCCATCACGATAGAAGTATATTAGTTTACACCAATTTGTTTACCCTTTGTGTAAACTATAAAACCGTCTTAAGTACCGACTGCCGTGAGTAACGCACACAAAATGTACCCATTTAAGGTTTTTTTTTTAATGACTGCCTCGGCTTTGAACATTGTTAAATCGCCAAAACGATCTGTATAATAATAGACAGCTCGGGTTAATTGAGGTACTTGATTTCTTTTTTCAATGGCATAACATGTAGTATGTATCGCATATTGTATATTGTACTTAGACATATTGTGTTTAAGTATTCTCTTCTGAACTATTCAAATCATGTCCAAATCTGGTGACATAATTAATAATAGGAGAAACACATAAAGTTTTTTTTATCAAGTAATTTTTTGTCTAAAAAATCCTTTGGTTTTCCAATGATGAAGTGTTTTGGTGGTGACTTTAAATATTTATTCGTCGTTATTTATATTTATCAAACATTTAGTCGATGTAGCTTTTGATGACAAATGAAAAAAAACAATTTCCTAAGCGTTTTTCGCGCACTAACCTCTAAGTAGTATCCCTTATGACATTCGGATCGCTTTGTAGGTTCACTGTAAGTGGTGCAACGTTTCGTTTTCGTATTCCTCGGGGAACACCTTTATCGACCTGACGCTACTGGTTTTCGGATCAAAGCGAAAATGAGCGTGTAGGTAAAAAAAAAAAAAAAGAATTTATATACGTGTATATATTGGTGGTATAGATATAAGAAGACGTATCGGTGTGACTAGCGGACGTTTCAATCGGCTCGGTGCTTTTGTGTGCAGTTGTTGTTAAGTGAGAGCGGCTAGACCCTCGGGGATTAAGGTGGACGGGATAAGGAACGGCCGCCGGACGTTCAAAGGAATACGGTAAGGGACAAGAAGGACGTGCTAACAAGGAGAAGGAAGAAACCCGCGGGATAGGCAAGGGCGACGGCGAACAGGCTATACAAGTCCATTCTAGTCGCCGTTGATTGGGAAACTTTTGTCCGCTCTTTAGTGTACGTGTTGCGAAATTCTAGTGCACCCCCCTCCCACGCTTTTGTCTGGAGACCTTGGTTCGTTGGAATTATTTATTTTTTTTTTTGCTTTTGCTTAGCCAAAAACTCCTCAGGTGGAGGGAGAAGTCGTAGGGATCTAAAACCTGAGCGATTCAACCGAGAAAGTGGTAAATTTGTGATCAAGTTTGGGCATGTCTCAAAAATTATCCATTTAGGTCAACAAAACGTTTCAGACAGAATCATTGATATGATTCAACAAAATCAACTATTTTTATGCCATTTCAAGGCCGCTCTTGACAAGGTTGCTTGAAAAATCCAACATTGGAGTAGTATGGCAGCATTGTTTGCTAAAGGATGATTTGGAAAAGAATCAAGTTCAAGCAACGGTAAACAGCTAAGTGGATCACATACAATAGTGTGTTCCAACATTAGCACTTCGCATCCCTGTTAAGAGAAATGATTTTTAAAAAAAATATTTGCAATCTTACTACATTCCCTCAAAAACCGACTATCTGTAGCACTGACTTTGTCGACGAAGCAGTTTATTATCAGTAAAACCATGAAGAGAGGGTAAATTTTTGGACGTGGCTTTCACTCACCTCATCCCAGTCCATTATCAGAAGTTATCTGACAGTAGCTCATTAAAATTCTGTATCATTAATATTCAATATATTTCATTTCCGAAGCAACCAAGACAACCGCAGTTTCCATGGAAATTCTCACAACTTTGGGACCATTTAACATGGATATGCTATTGAGCTGGATACAAGAAATGTCGCGTTACGTGTTTACTTCCAGACAGAGATACGATACAAAAGAGATAACATCTCCACGATTAAATGTTTTTTCGTAGTGCGGTGAAAATAACTAGTATGGATGGGATGGTACTATGAGAAAACTGTTAATCCCTGGATAACTGATAATACATATATTATTTATAAGAGAATCGGCTGATAAGAGCTAAGTTATTTTTCTTTTTACCCTTGATGTGACAAGGAAGTGGATGATAGAACATTTATATTTTAAATATGTTAAAATTTGTTTTGTAAAAATTCAATGTTTGACGCAACAGCTTTTCGCAAAATTACCTTTACATTTTAAGTATAGATGTATTTTTTAATTTTTACATTTTTTTTCTTCCTGCCCGCAGCCATCTAGTTGTCTAAGCGACCGGGAAGAGGATGAGATCTACGGGTTGACGACGGCCGACCGACGATTCCCACCAGCTGCGGCTCGACCGTCCGTGCACGTGGCAACCACCATGAGACAACAGCATGCCACCCAACAACCGTAAGTAAACTTACACAGTCTTGTCAGACTTGTTACAGTCGTTAAATTCCCCACACTTCGTTTTTGTTCGCGAATGTTGGCCAACTACCGTCAATATTAGTTAATAGAATATTATTATGGTGCTATACAATACGTTTTAGTATACATTTATAGTTGTGGACATCAATCTTTTCCTAGAGGGAAAGACATGATCAAAGTCAAATGATCAGCTGATTTTGTGTCTGTTATCATCTTTTGTCGTCTTATCATACGTTTTTTAAAAATGATAATATATTAGAGATAAGAGACAAAATATACGTGATAAGAGACAAAATATAAGTGATAAGAGATAACATATTCCTGATTACATTTTTTTTTTCGGCCCTTTTGAGCATCTTTATGGTACGATTTATGTATAATTAATGGCCGATTAAGAATCCTCGTTAATAGTAAAATAAACACACGAACGCCCATACCGGACCCCTTAACAATTAATAGGGGTGTGTTTTTTGAATGGGACATTTTCAAAGAGGCGTTCTGGGACGAGTTTACGTTATCCGTTCTCGACGGCAAATCTTTTCAATGTTTTTCGCCCACGATTTTCGGTAGACGTTATAGTATATTATATTTATTAAGAGGATAATTTTATTTTTGATCTCTAAAACAACTGCCCGGACCGACCACATTGTTTACGGTAAATTAAATTACGGTTTTAACCGCTTTTGTGTGTATAAAACGACGCACAATAATACACCGTATTGTGTTGTATATTATACTGTACTTATATTATATTTTGTAATTGCGTCAGATAAGCGTTTAACGGTTACAAAACGGAATATCATTAAAATAATTGCCGTTCCGGATACGACTGAAGATATGTACAATGTTAATTAATTATATTATAATATATATATATATATATAATACCAAAAACGCGTTACTACACAGAATAATATTATAAAATCATTACTCAAACCCATCGTACAACAACGGTTCCGAGTAAAATGTGTGTGCGTTAGGTTTTTTTAAATATTATATTAGGTGCAATATTAACATATTAAACTGTACATCCGGACATAAACCGAATACATTATTATGTTGTACAGACAGCTTGATGATCGTTTTTACGTTGCTGCGTTCTCTCAATAGCGTTATTATAATAATTTATAACCGATTGTCCAAATAAAGTACAGTGTGTGATCATTTTATCGTGGACCACTCGATATCGCTCAATACGGTTTAATAAGAAATTTAAATTAGTCGTTTTTATATACAATGTGATCTCAAATGTTCACAATTTTTGTTTCGATTTTACTTGTTAAATAAAATGTGCATGTTTTTTTATTTCAAACTCTTATCGTTGTAAAAATCTTTATTTATTTATTAGATACTACAGGATGGTACAACATTCAATACAATACACTCGGTATCTCTTAGATTAATTGCAATTTTGTAGTTTTTCTATTTGAACAAAATGTTCGCTTATGTTATTTTACAATATAATTAAATATTAAATTTTTTTTTTTTGTATTTTCCAGAACTCTATTAGTTTAAACGGTAAGGTATATATATATATATATTATATATATTCGATCAACTTTTTAAATTGACAATAATTTCTTTAGAACTTTGATTAACCAAAAATGTATTATCTCTCAGTCGACATTTTCTGTAACTTATTCTTAATTTAAAAAAAAAAAAATTAAATATACACTTTACCGTTTAAGTTTGAAATCTAATGGAATTTTTAAAATTTACCAAAAGATTTCAGTATTGTTTAGTACTGTAAAATAATGCTAACTAAAATGTATCCGAAAAGAACAACTACCAAATTATACTATTATTTTTAAAGACAATTATTATAAGTTAAATAGAACACCTTGCATGTTATGTCTTCGATATAGATAAAAAAAATTAGTTCCCACCAGTGTTGGACAATATTCATTCAAGTTGAAAGCTAATAGTTAATTTGATGATATTAACGATTTTAACCGTATGTAATATTATAATATTATAAATGTATTCAGTATGAAATTATTATATATTTATTTAACTTTCAATTTATCATCACTTTTATTTATGGTTGAGAATTTAAATTTTAGTCACGACTTAGTTTTTTTTTAATATAAATCAAATCGAATAACGTCCAAGAGTCTGGTTGCAATTTTAAGTGATAATTTGTTTTATTCTGGTCTTGTGTTTTATTCAGTAGATTCCGTTTTAATTTTCTCATCGCAATTAAGATGTTTCAAACGTGGGTCTTGTGTGTACATTCTACCGCGATTAAAACATGTATGTGTCCATTTGTGTGGCACGTGCAAACGGATTTACTTTGAACGAGTTTGTAATGCTCTTAAGGAGGAAATACTTGTCTCGTATCCGTTGATTGTGTTTTTCTAGGTTAACCACAACACTAATACCTTCTTTTGGTACACGAAAAACAAATAATTCCCGTGAAAGCTTACATGCACAATTTTCTACCTCGACGTTGATTAGAAAATGTTTGCTTTAACGCGATTTTCAAAACGAATCCCAAGAAAATATAAAATAACCTATTTCTGGATTTTTCAAAAATGCATGTTCACTAACCGTCCGTTAGGTAGGTTAACGAAAATGTTACCAAACGGTTAACACGGGTCCAAAAGATCCGCACTATTAAATAGATTTACTCTTTACTTTTGGTAAAACTTGATTTTTTCAAACCCGAATTACATTTTACTATACACACTTAAATATACACGCTACAGCAATAACAAAAGCAAAAGATAAATGTTTAACGTTTTTAAATCAAATTTTATAGACACTACCTATTTATTATAAATACATACAATTTTTTGTATTTTAATTTTAAAACTTAATAAATATAGTTTGTTATTTGATTATTGATAAAATTACAACCACACATTAGATAAAATCGGATGGTGCACTCCCTATTAAATCAATGTAATTGCTGAAAAATTAAACAAACCAAAACCCGATAGAAAAAAAAATCTATAAGAAAAATTATCCTTTCAGAACTGAGCACCGCTGAATTTATTAATTGTTATCACCTGTGTATTATAAACATTATACTGATAACATATTACTATAGTAAAACAGTCTGTACAATAGTTTAATTTCTAGAATGTGATCAAACTGAGTTGAGGAGGGTTTTATTTATCAGAAAATGATAAAGTGTACCCAAGATCTTCGAACCGGGTCTGGTAACTCCATTTGTGGAAAAGCGTAGCCGTTTTACCTCAATATGGCGGCCACGAAAGTGATGTAATCATCCGTGTTACAAAAAATGGGCAGTGTTACCAATATTATTTTTTGTGATTCCAATCTGTATGAAGTTATTTTTGTGGGTTCTCCTAATGTGAAACCACGGCGAGCAGTTATAATAATATATTATATTTTCATTTCTTCGAGTTTGTCGTTATCGTTGTATTACATTATGCTACTACTATGGCGGCACATGATAAAAATATGTTTATGGTCTTCTCTATGAATACATAAAAGTTTAGCGGTGTTCAGCATTTACAATAGTGCTTTATATTCGCATATGAAATCTATTCCGCCTACTCGACCTCTTTGTGGCCATTAGCCCGATCGTAAGTATCTTGTCAAGTGTATTTTGCCGACGTTTTTCGACTATTTATTATTATTGTTATTATTATCGTGTTCGTTATTTGTTGGATTTTTCTGCGCTGAAATTATCATTCGACAAATTCTACAACACGATTTCCAAACGGTTTTCCGAGCTCTTGGTCTTATTTTCAACGGTATGGAGATATCGATGATAATTCCCGGACTGAACTGATAAGGTATTACTGATAACAGACAGACAATTATCATTAATCGAATGCAGACCAAGTGGAGATGACTGATAAGAGACTTGGACTGATAAGAGGGAAGTATTGATTAATATTATGCTAAAAGAGTTGAATAACTCGTGTATCGTTTACACGTTTTTAAGTTCAAACCTATTCCGGATTGTATTTTTTATTTTGAATTCCTGTTACCTTGAACGTATAACTGCTCTTGTTTTGGTAATGTTTTGCTAATGTTTTGCTAATGTAGCTTGTAATGATTGTCGATTGGCTGTGCAGAGATATTTGGTGGCGCAACAGAGCCCCCTATTGTCATCTGACACGGGGATTCGCACATCAGTGTATTTTAATAGAAGGAGGTGCTCGTTTTTTTTTTCAGCAAAAGGTCGGTAAAGGTTTTTTACAAGTCTGCATTATTTTCCTTTGTCGTACCGCACACCAAGACAAGAAGACGACAGCTATCGACTGCTATTTAACTCCAATATTATTATATTATATACTTTTTAACATATCTGGATAAGATATCTGCGCCACTTCTTTACTCGCTGGTCTTTCGGTTTTATCCTTCTAACGATTTTTTAAAAGTTGCCTTGTTATACCTTTATATATTACCTGTATTGTTTTTATTGTGATGAGTTGCTATTACATGAACAATGTTCTCAAGGTAAAATTACACTTTTTTCAATCAACAGTCAACTATTTTCATTATATTGTCGATTTTACCTATTGGTAACAACGGTGAGGAATTATTAGGAGAGACAGACAGAAATTGTCTATTTACCGATAAGGACGAGGATACAGTGATAAGTATGGATGAAGTGGGGGTATAATTATCGGATTACTGATAAGAGAATTAGCTGATAACAGATGATTGATAAGTGAATCCGGCGATCACAAGGCGGATTATATTCGTGATCCGATGTCTTTCTATTCGAGGGAGGAAAGATTGTGATGAATTAAATTTTTTGGTTTCCTTAATAAATAATCATTTTTGGCGTGACCGCGGATTTTTGAATTTTGTTTAAACGCTATTAGGCAGATAATGGCCAAAATATATTCGTACCTTGAATTCAATCTCATTGTCTAATGTTAGAGTATTATGTGTTTGGGCAAAACTGCCACGTTAAAGTGGCTGTTCTATGTACCTATACATGGGTACGTGACGTTTGTTTTTCCATGTGTGTGTGTTTGTATGTTTAACCGTAAGCG